GCTAGCCGACGGTAGGTCGGCGCCGGATCTCGCCATACAGCGGGGGAAGAACACCGCCACCATCCCTTACGGCACTGTGCTGTAATGTCCTGAGCAGTTGACGCGCTCGGAATCACTAACAACGAATCAATCAATCCTCGTTAGTCATCGCGCCCGGAATGAAAGGTCACTCACGTCCATATTTTACATGCCCGTGTTGCGGCCCACTGCAGGCGCCATGCCGCTTCCTGCCGCTTTGGTTACTTAGGTAATGAAAATGGGAGGGCGACCGGGATCGCGGGCGGCTGCGGGCGAGCCAGCCGAGGGCAAAGGCCGGGCGAGGCGCCCTGCGAACCGAGGCAGGCCGGCCGGCAGGCGCGCAGGGCAACGACCCCTCGCCAGCCATAGAGCACTGCGCCGTCGGAGGGGTCGCATTTCACCCGACGGCTACCGAGGGGTTTGCGCCCGTCGACCACCAAGAAAGGTGGTCATTTCGTTGAGGATTCATTATTTCGTGTTTCCGGGCGCGTCAACTACTATGGTCATGAGGACCGTGGGTGTAACTCATGTTTTGTCATGGCAGTGTTCCTCTCCCCACTGAAAAGTGAGATACAGCGCCGACCTATACACTATATTTAGTTTTCCCATCTAGGCTTTTCACAACGAATCTATTAGCGAAGCACCGTTCCAACCGGAACAAGCGGTAAGCTCCGAACCGGTCTCCCAAAGCGTGTGGCAGTGGAGTGCTTTAAGTCTGTGTGTACGTAGGGGTGAGGATAGAACAACGAAGGTCTGACGCGTTTGTCAGAGGCGTAAATTCCATAGGGACTGACAGGACCAATCCAGGGTCCACAAAAGTCCGGCGGCCCCGTGCTAGTCCCAAATTCAAAACGAAATAATAAATATTTTTTCTCAAACTGTGATAAAACCCTAGAAGAAATAAATGAGGCGCCATATTTTACTGCCTCACCGTTATTTGTGCTTGAAATATATGCAATTTCTAAAAAAAAAATATCAAAAATTGCTCCAAATTTTTTGTTCAATTTTTTCACGGATAGAAGAAAGTACGCTTAAAATGCCCTGCGTATCAATTTCTTTGAACTCTGAATTTTCAAAAATTGCAGATTTAGAAATCATGTAAGAAAAACTGTGCTGTTAGAGCACCATTATTTTGGACACAATGGAAGTCTAAAGTCAAAAGTTGATGAATTAAGTCAAATTGTAAGATATGTTAAGTTTGAGAAAAAAAAAGGTTCGGCAAACCGAATAAAATAAAAAACTAATGAATCTTTGACATGCTTTTAGAAAGTCTGATATTAATCAGAACGGGGGCGGTGCATTTTGATTTTGTCTAGAGCATAAAATAACGAGGCATTCATTTATCTAAATGTAAAGGTCCAGGAGATAATGGCGCAACAGTTATGAGTGGAATTAAAAGGGGCACTGATGCATTGTTTGTGCTCTGTGCTGCTCACAATTTAAATCTTATGTTTAATGATGCTGTGAATGGGATATTAGAAGTTCAGACGTTTTACCGTTTGCGAGAAAAAAATGTTTTATTTTGTGACCCGATGGATTCAGATATAAAGCGAAATAATCTTACATTGACGTTGACTTCAAGATGATCATCATGGAATTTAATGTCTTTCCTTAATAACTAAAAGATATTTTAAAAGTTGGCAGGTTTTAACAAAAATTACATTTTCTCACAAAATGTCTGAAACGAATTATGGTCGTATCTTGAAAATAGAATAGGAAAATTTCAAATTTGTTTTCCATGCAGTACTGCATTCCAAAAATACTAACATCAACACTGCTTCAAAATAGGAGTACATTCAAAGCCCTTATTTGGATTTGAGAAAGGCACACAATTTACTTGATGGAGCTTAAGAAGAATTGAAGACTGTTCGGAATGACTACGATAATTAATGACGTCTTTAATTAATTGTATTGTGTTGGTCCAAGGGAATCCTCTGTTGCACTTACGCCTCTGTTATGCGATTTGACCAATATTGCAATGACCTGCTGAAAACTAATGTTTACATACAAGAAACTCACAGATACTAAATAACTCCGTAGAACAGTTCCAAAAATTCACTTTCAAGCGTCTTTTTTTTTACTGTAAATAATATTAAGTGATGAACTAAATGCGAAAAAATCGATTTTGCTAGATAAATATTAAATAAATTGAATATTTGATGCTAATAATTTCTACAATGTCACCGTTAAATGCAAAGAAATAGATAATTTCTGCCACAAAAATGTTAATTAAATACTAATTTCATAGTGGTTAGAAAGCTATATCAAAGGATTACGAGTTTGATTAAACAGTGAACAACTACTCTCAAATTGTAACAGCATTATTAAAACTCGATTATCGAATTTCCTATAACTTCATTTGCCTCACATTCAATTTTGTTGCGTTATATAAACAACGAATGGAAATCAATAAACAGATTTACACCAAAATTTATAAACATACTTCACAGAAACAGTTCTTGACGTGTCTCCACAAAATGCAACTCATGATTGAAAGTCGAAATTTATCACCTGAGAAATTTACTTTGGAACCCCAAATTATTTTTTGTAATTGTTAAAACACAATATTACTGCACCTTTAATAATTCTCCCTCTCCAATGTATTTATCTCTCTCTTAGAATTGCTAGTATATTATTTCTCTCAATGAATCCTAACCGATTTCAAATTTTACAGAAATAGCATTATCAAGGATAACAGAAACCGTACCTCGCGGGTCGATTATAAACCACCGTTTACATCAACATAATGTATATTATAATAAAATATGCATTGTGATATGTTATAAGAAGCGTCCGGGGGCACCGCAAACTACTACTGTACCAATATATTTACAGTATGTACAGTATATATGTCCAGTATATGGTGAACTTGATGTTATTGTTGAAGAATGCGTTTTACCGTAGTTGTGCATGAAATCAGTAATCACAATTATTCATGCTACCGATACACTTCTTCTATTGAGCAGTGATATTTAAAATAACAATTATGATAGCTCTGTTGTAAGAGCACGAAGGAATTAGAATTTGAACTTTAAATGCACATGAATAAAAATAATAGCTATCGAAGAGATTAACGCATTCAATGAGGTTAACGTATCAAAACTGCCAAGTCGCCATGTCCATGTACCACATTGACCAAAACTCTCACTTTTATCAAAAGAAAAAAAGTAAGTCATATTTATTGACATGTTTTCCTAATTTTTAGGTCATAAATTCTTGCATATTTCTAACACTTTAGGTCATAAACATCCGGGCCCTGCAACCCGACCGCAAGCGGTCCTTCTGTAGTTGCGCCAGCGCCCTCTCGCTTCCAGAAATAGCGCGCTGTCGTCCTGTTGCGCCATTCTTCCCAGAAGTTCATTGTCTCTCTCCTCTCCCTCTCCCTGAGCTTAGCCCTGCCGCCGCCGCCGATAAGCCGCGATTTCCGCGGGTCGCCCAGCGCTATCTCCCTGCCCATCCACCGCCGCTAAAACATCCCAGAGGTTACGGGTCAACCACACCCGCTGCGGTAGACAGTCGGTGGATTGTTCGTGCCTCGGCGTACGTGGGAGACAACGAAAGGTCCTTTGGCGGAGCCTCTGCGGCGAAGCGACCACGAGAAAGTGGGCACAGAAGGAGAAATTCATGTGGTATCTTGATAATGAGAAAATTGGACATGAACTTCTATTCCAAGTGCAAGTTGTATTAACTACAGTATATTTATTGTACGCGATGTGTCACGTACCACTTGCAACTAATTCAAATGTTACGAAATGTTATGTTCAGTAATAATTGTGGACAGGAAGAAAACTTGTGCTGATTATTCTTCTATCCCATCCATGGTTGCGGATTTTTTATTCATTTCACAGCTGGGCCGAATTTTCTTTGCGACAATTTTAGTGGCCGACTGCTCTAATTGATCATTTTCCATTCTGTGCCTAGTCCATACCAGGTGAAAACCGGAGCAGTATCTGAACAAATGGGTCAAGGACCGCTCGCGATCTTTCCTTCCTCTTCCTATTCACCTCCTCCACATAACTACAAGTACTACTACCACACAACACGAGACCAATCGGGAGCCAGAGCTCGTCCCATCTGGGAATATGTCTCTAGTGGTGGACAGACCTGGATTGATTGTTGATTGATTGTTAGTGATTCCTGGCGCGTCAACTGCTGCGGGCATTAGTCCTGTACATGTGGTGCATGTTTTTTTCTCGGAAGCCGGCGGGAATCTTCTCCCGCTGGATGGTGAGAACTGGCGCCGACCTACCGTTGGCTAGCAGGTTTTTCCCCATCCAGGTATATCTCTCCAGCATGGCATTTCCCCAGTCGGGACATGCTCTAAGCTCCCGACCGATCTATTTGCAACTGTAGTCGCGTAGCGGATGTTACTGTACTTGCGTGTAGGGGGTAAGAATGGGACAAAGAAAGGGAAGGAAAGATCGCGCGCGGTCTTCGGCTCGTTTGTTATGATACTGCTCCGCCTTTCGCCTGGGGTTGGTCGAAGAAACATCGGAAAACTACCGATCACAGCAGCCGGCCGCATGAATTATCTCACAGCGACTGACATCGACCAGCTGTAGTGAGAAAAATCCTTCCACCGCCGGACTCGAATTATGGGCCTCCCAGTCAGAGGCGCTGCAGAGATTTCTTGATGCCCCGAGCCACCTCTTCCGGTGAGGAGAGACCTGGCGGGGAACTCCGTTTCCCGGCATGGAGATCAGCGCGGATATCGCGTTCGAGCGGGAGAGGAACGTCATTACCACGCTATAAAACATGCACTGTGCATAAGGAACTCTTGACCTTACCCATGAAACGCCCGGAATCACAAAATAATCACTAAAACAAAGTAACAAATCTGCTCTACGTTCTTAATTTCGTTTCTCCAAATTGCACGACGCACTTGGCACTTGGCCGAGGATTCCCACTCCCGGGACGGAGCCTGTGGAAGCGGGGGAAAGGGTCCCACGCGAATCTCAAGGACAGCGCCCGCGCGGGCGCCCAGTAACACTGAGGCAGCAGTTGCAGGCGGGCGCCGCTGGAGAGACGAGATGCACCCGCTACTAGCAGCGCTGTTGGTGCTTGCGGGCTTTGCATTTCCCTCGAATGCAAACTCCACGGAAATTTATCATGGGAATGACAGCAGCAGGTGAGTGAGTCCGACCCAAACGTCGAAGCATTTAAGTCATAGTGAACGCATTCAATGGGTGTTTTACACAAACATTATTTATTATTGTTATTATTAATATATTGTTATTATTGTATTATCGCCATTATTACTATCATTATGATTATTATTGGATGGAAGTCTGATACACAGTCTGACAGTCAGATAGGCAATTGTTTTCTTTTTGTTTTATATTTTGTGTAAAGTTACCTGAATAATACTCTTTTATGAATATTTATGCTAAGTCACTAAAATATTACGCTTTAACATCCTAAAAGTTCTAAAAATTAATTTATCATCCTGGAAAAAGACAATAAAAAATCAAAATTGGAGAGGGGTTAGCATTAATATACATTTCATTGCATATGTATATTAAAAAACCTAAATATTTTAACTAAAACAATTTAATATGAGGAGAAAAATTGATTTTGCAGCTTTTTGATTATATAATTTGGCTGTGGAATTGCCAAATAAATAATTAAGAAATTATGAACCTAAATAAGTAAAAAATAATTATTAAATTTGTTCTAAGAATTGGTTGCCCTGACCGGGACTCGAACCCGGGCCTGCCGCTCGCCCAGCAGCTCTAACCACTAAGCTACCGATCCTTTGATCAGCTTTCACGAGCGTGATTATCGCTCCTTGCATATATAATATATAATTGTATATAATGAGGTGACGGGATGGTGAGAATTATATATAATAAAAAATAATTCTTGTAATTTTTCTTAAATTCAATATTTGGTATACGAATGCATACATTTTTCCAATAAGTAGAGACTTCTCTACCTTACTCTCCTGGAAAGAATATTTGGCTCAGTAAGCTATCATTATCGGAAGTCGAGGTTATCGATTTGCCCTCTGAAATGGGAGTGTTATGGTTGCATCACGAATGTCAGCCTAGCTCTCTAACGTCCATCGCTTGTTGTTTGGTTTATTATTATGAGAAGAAATGGGATCAAAGAGAGTTTTTAGGAGTCAAAAACATTTACACTGACTATCACATTCGAATACAAATGGCATCTGCCCTCGAGACAAAAAGTAGAGGTACGTTACCGGGAGAAAGATATTGTGAAATAATGAATTAGTAAAACCGAAAATGATTAGGTGTATGCCAACTGAGAGTAAGTGAAGACACAAATAAATGTCAAGAAAAATAATTTAAAAATATGCCTGAGCCAAAAAAATAAAATTCGTTCAAATAGATTTTCCATAATCGGTGGACATATCATAAAAGCCTTTCAATATGTTCATTAGAATAACATTGGCATTTTCATATACATCGTTGTCACTATGTATTTGTCTTAACATATATATTACACGTTATTGTTACTTTAGCTATCTAACAGCCAACTCAACTCACTCAATGTTCACAGCATGATTGTGATATGGACTATTTCTGCATCGCCAGTCATAGTTTTGAGCTTCATAGTGGCATGGGAGTCTGATTTACTAAAGTAATAAAAACCCGATAATACATCCGGTATCTCATTATCGACGATTACAACATATGTAACTTGCTTAGAATGATGTTCGACTGTGCATTAATGTATAACTAGATGTTTTAGTTCCCTTATGTTATCTGCCCCTTTGCCGACAAATGTTTAACGCCTTATCTTACAACTGCATTCACAAAACTTCAACTTAGAAATGCATTTTTCTCACTAGCGAGATAAATATCAGTCAAAACTCAAAAGTACTGTAGCAACTTTCACTACTTGACTACACCCATCTACATCTTTTTCGCGACATCGGTATCTTGTTTGCGTTCGAGGAAGAGACAAGGTTAAGGGGAGAAGGGATTGACTGAAGCAAAGGATTGATTAAATATAGACTTAAGGAAAGAAGGAATGAAGATCAGTTATTGCAGGAAGATTACGAGAAGATAAAAAAACTAATATTATAACATTTTGGAGCCGAATTTAAGAACAATTGAAAATATACCGGGGCGTCTTGTAAAGTACCTCCCAAAATTGAAATACCAGTTTCAAATTAAAGAGGTCGCGACATCCACAAGATCAATTGGGGAATATCAATTTCTAAGAAAATCGACTGAACGATTTAGCCGCCAGCGTTGTACACAAACTGACAAGACATGTGAGCAGACGTTTTTCCCTCATTCGATTTTTCGGTATGAAGGGCCCACAAAACATGAATTCTGTGGTACATAATAGGGGGATTTTTTCCTTAATATAGCAACTGGAATTATTCACTTTTCCGTTACCAGAGCCCTACAATAAAGACTTTTTCTGCCGAAAATTCGCCGTTTTTCGTGCAGCACTATATAACTTTCTGGCTACTCCGTAGCGAGAAGGCAGAAGTCATGATGTTTAGTAACCTATGGTAATGACTCATCATCAGGGCCGATTGGGCAAACGAGCCGGAGGACGCGGGGCCCCCCGCGTGCACCTGCGACGCGGAGACGCTCGACTGCGGCATGGCGGGGCTGCGCCGCCTCAACCTGAGCGAGCACCGCTGCGCGTGGCCCGTGCGGCGCGTGGTGCTGCGCCAGAACGCGCTGCGCGCGCTGCCGCCGCTGCCGGAGTCCGTGGAGGACGTGGACGTGTCGTGGAACGCCTTCGCGCAGCTGCCGCGCGCTGCGCAGCTCAGCGCCGGCACCAGGGCGCTCAACGTGGCGTGGAACGGGGCCTCCAGCGCCGGCGACGAACTGCACTCGCTGCGCTCGCTCGAGGTGATAACTCGCGCTCGTAACTGGGTTCCTAATAATGTGCTGCTATGTCGACTAAACGCAAACAAACAAAGAGGCGAAAATCGGTCTTCAGCGGCCAGCATCAGATAAGAATTAAACAGTCCGACCTCCGGTAGAGACAATTATGCATGTGAGTCGTGTGACTTATTATAGAAAATAACATTTCTTGCGTACACGACATTTCTTATCAACATACGTTCGATAACACTGAAAAGTACTCTGTCGGTATTTGTTGTTTATCGTTAATGACGTTTATAATTATTATAACACGCCACACACAATTGTTAAGTGCAATTTTAACACACCCCGTAAGCTCCATAAAACAAAGTGCACGACGGTAAGGTGGGTTAATTATTCGGATTTTGGAGTGTAAGTAGATAACGTGTGTATGTTGTTGAACATCTTCGCTCAGTCGTTGCACACCTTGTTGCTTGGCGTCAGCACGAAAGTTTTCCTAACATTTCCATTTGGGTGTGATACCCCAAGTGCCGCATCTGTCTGATATTTGCATTCAAGATGTCTGTAGGAGAGACATTAAAAGGAAAATGATTTGAATTTTATCGTTCACTGAGTTCATATGTGTCAAGCAAAAAACGTCTTGACAGACGATTCCATAATTCCATTAGACCGTCCTCCACCTGATAGTAATTTAAGAGATTTTTGTCTCCAGTTCCTTTGTCTAATTTCGCCACATGTTTCGTTGACCCCATTCCTCCATCTTATTTAACCGTTCCATCCTTCTTCCGCTTCATCCCTCCGTTCCATTCCTCGGCCCCATTCCTTCGTCCCATCCCTCCGCTTCATTCCCCCGCCCCGTTCCCCCGTCCGTTTCCTTCGTCTGATTCCTTCCCGCGGCTGCGCAGGAGCTGCGCGTGGAGGGCAACCGTCTGGCGACGCTGCGCTTCCTGCCGTCGCCGTGCGCGCTGCGCGTGCTGCGCGCGGGCGACAACGCGCTGTGGCAGCTGGACGACGCGCTGGGCCGCTGCGAGCGGCTGCGTGAGCTCGACCTGTCGGGCAACGTGCTGGGCGCGGCGTCGGCCGGCGTGCTGGCGCGCCTGCGCCTGCTCGAGGAGCTGCGCATCGCGCGCTGCCGCCTGGCGCTGCTGCCGCCGGCCGCCTTCCAGGGCCTGCGCAACCTGCGCGCGCTCGACCTCTCCGACAACGAGCTGCAGGTGCGTGCGCTCTTCACTCATCGTCTCGTTATTTCGTGTCTGCGGGTGCGCCAACTGCTACGGTTATTAATACCATTAGAGCAGTGCACGTTTATGGGCGTTGCGATGTTCTTCCCCTGCTCAATAGCGAGATGTGGCGCTGACCTAGTCAAAGGCTTTAATATTTTCCTCACACAGGTATCTTTCTCTAGCAGGGCGCCACCCCAGATGGCAAAGCTCTAAGGCAAATTCAATTCAATTCAAAGGTTCTGACTGGTTTCTCGAAATGTGTGGCAGTGAACGTGATCTGGGCTGTCCGGGTGACGCCGCGTTGAAGGCTGTGTTGCCGACGTTTCGACAATCTTGGCGTGGCCTTCCGCAGAGCTGGTGTGCCAGCCGCTATACAGCCCTGAGGAAGGCTACGACCAGATGGTCGAAACGTCGGGAACACAGCCTTCGACGCGGCGTCACTCGGACAGCCCAGATCACGCGCATGACTTTGCCCGCGGAAGCCTACGACTTCATGTGTGGTAGTGTAGTGCATACGTGTGTGTTTAAATAAGGAACGAGAATAGGACAAGGAAGAGAAAGTATATACCGCTGGCAGTCCTTGGCTTTTGTAACGTATACGCCTGGTACTGAATGAAGAAACCACGAAAACCTACCGATCATAGCAGCCTGCAGTTAGAATTCTCCACCTGACAGCGGCTTAATTACATCTAGCTATCTAGCTAGTATCGGTGAAATTCTGTCTCCGTGGGGAATCAAACTATAGAACCTTCCTATCTAAGGCGTCGCACAGATATCACTTAAATCAATACGCCACCTCAGCTGGTAGGCGTGCGTTCTATTGGTCTATTGTTCGGCTTTCATCGTTTGAAAGCCATTCCTTGCTGGTGAAGTTACGTCGGTTATCTGTACGTTCGTAAATGCATTCGTTCGTATAGTCATGCATACATTAACTCGGAAGTTTGTCGTTCTTTCGTACGTTGACTTCTTCCATCGTATACCACTTGGCACGTTGTTAGTATGTTACTTCGTTCTCTTCCTAGGTTTTAAAAGTTTCTTCCAACTTTACACGTACGTTGTTTCTCAAGTACCTTCACATATTCTTTATAAGTTCTTCTCTAGGTCCCCTTTTACTATGTATTACACCTTATTCGCCCGTTATTTATGTTCCCACAAAGTTTCCATTGAAGGTTTTTTATATGTTTATTTCAAATATGATTAATAAAATATCAGTATCTCTAATTTAACACTCAGTTTCATGTAATTCATTAGAAGATGCAAGAATGAAGGCACGTGTTCATCGGTTTGTCTTCACATGTTTTGACAGGAACCTCTTTGAAATAATATAAAAGAAACCTACTTTGAAGCAGAGAATTCTCAGTGGCAAGTACAGTTTAACGTAGCTGCATAGAGTCAGCATAAATTACATAACTTGACATTAATTTTTACAAAGTTTCGGTAATTTTAAATGCTACGTACAAATACACGCAACTACAGATGTAGTACAAAACTTGAAGCCACATTGAATTTGAAATGCTGTTCCACGACACCTCTGTCAATTTCTTGAAAAAATCAGATGTTCATTAGTGCGGATTATCCACAGGTCCTACCCCTGGGTGCCATCCATCACCTGGACAAGCTCCGAAACCTCTACATCCGTGGCAATCGACTTCGAGTACTTCCGCCGGAAGCGACTTTCTCCAGATTCCCGCTCCTGGAGGACCTTCATCTTTCCAGCAACGCAATCAGCGTTCTCTCGGAGAACACGTTCGCCAACTTGACATTCCTAGAAACTCTGGAGCTAGATTCCAACCGCCTGCACTCTCTCCCGCCAGGCATTTTTTCCGGCCTCATCAACCTGCAGCGCCTCGTCCTATCCGGTAACCCGCTTCCCGCAGCGAGCCTCGTTGAGTTGGCACCACTGCGCAACTTGAAGTCCCTGTACCTGGACCGCTGCGCAATCCGTGAGCTCCCTTCACAAGCATTCGCCGCCCAGCGTCGGCTGAGCACCCTGAGCGCCTGCTGCAATAGGATGCATTCCGTGTCAGAAGACGCATTGCAGGGCCTCTTGCAACTACGTAGCCTGAAGCTCAATAATAACAGCTTGGATGCGCTGCCTGATAACCTCTTCAGAGATGTGCCAGGTTTGAAGGTGCTTGACGTGTCCCGCAACCGCCTACATGCACTGCCAACGGTCATCTTTACACATCTCCGTTTTCTTTCCATTCTGGACGCTTCAAGGTGAGTAAAACGTCATTTGTTCAAAGAACAGATATAAGAAGTAGACAATATTTTAAAATATTGGTAATGTTTGAAAGCCTGTTGAAGAATAATATTTGGTAGACCTAGGTATTTTCCAGTAATGGTACTTATCGCTGAGAAGGCGTAAATAGGTATGCTCTAGTTTCTCATTTATTGCTATTAATGAGATATAATCTGATAATTACGTTTTGCCCCATCATTGAGGTATTATAATAACATTTCACATTATTTTAGTTTTAAAACCGCCATTTTAACAAGTTTTTAATATTTTCAATAGTATATATTATGCATTCTAGTGAAATAAGCTTTCATTTTGAAGTTACTTCAATTGTATTTCAATTTATTGTGGGGTCCAACATTGAACCCTTCTTCCCATCAGTGTTCCGCGGGAACCAGAATTGCTTGCCAAGCACCTTGTATCCCAGTCATAAGAGCTCGGATTCTGATGACAGATCATTTTTTCATTGGTGCATTGTAGATGTAGCTAAATTATAAACGAATGTATCAGGACAAATAAGTGATAGAAATGTGTAGTTATTTGTTAATTTTTGTTATTATTTGCCATTTTTTAATTTTTAGCTCTTTTCTTAACATTTGCGCCATTTTTATAATTTTTACGCATTTGTTTCATTTTCGACTTCTTTGTTAGTGAATGTTTCATGAATTTACAATACACTGAAACAAAATATTTATTGTAACATCAGTTAATAACGAAACTCACTACTGCAATGAACATTATTTTTCGAACGGATCTTGGGATACTTCCTCTACATTTCAAACTAACGATTGGGAGATGGAAGCTAAGGATTACATTTCCTTCTTAAATAAATACTTTATATGAACTATAGTTTTATATAAATACATTTTATTGGAAATTGCGAAACTTTAATCTATAATTACTTTTACATTTAATAAAAATTCCCCTATTTTTGAGTAACTTTCCCCTTATTTTGTAGTCCATTCTCAAAGAATTTTCATGACCTTAGAATCCGAGACCTGATTTTGATTGAGTACTAGGGATTAAGGGTGCGACAACTGCTAAAGTAATTTGTCCCGCTTGTGTAGTGCATGTATTTTGCTTGTGAGGGGACTGTGATCTTGCCCCACTGTATGGCGAGATCCGGCGCCGTGCTACCGACGGCTAGCGGTGTTTCCCTCACTCAGATATCTCCCGCCAGTGGGGCACCGCCCCAGCCGGGACAAGCTCTAATCTGCCGCCTTGCGTGGTAGTGTAGGGCAACCGAGCCCCGGTCACGAGAGTGTTTCTGCGCAGCAACCGCCTGCGCGCGCTGCCTGCGCTGGACGAGTGCTGCGCGCCGCCGCGCTCCGCCATGTTCCAAGACAACGAGCTGCGCGCGCCGGACGCCGCTGCGCTCCACTCGTGGCTGCGCGCGGGCGGCGAGTCCACGCTGCTGGATCTGCGCGCGACCAACGCGCGCTTCGACGTCGACCGGCTGGCCGCGGCCCTCGACACGCTGCGCGCCTCCGAAGACGTGCGGGTACGTCAGGGATGGCCAATGGGCAAGACCTCATAGGGCAGTACTTTAACCTTTAACCCTGCATTGACAAATGTTTTTTCCATAACGCGCAGTTCCAAGGGAGGATTAAAAATGTCCACCTTCAATATGACATCACATGCTTTATTTACATAAAAATTAATATTTTTAAAATTTACTTATTGAATGTTTGATAATGTAACATAGTCATATTTCATGAGTTGTGATGGCTCTCATTATAACGAGTACTAAACTTAACTACATTACTCGTGGCACAGGAAACAAGAGCTTCTTCTTTGATAAATTAATTGAAAAAAAAAGTTGAAGATGGCTTCGAAAGGGAATATGTTTTCAATTCTAGTTGGGAAGTCATCTAATGAGGACAGGTTGTAGTGGACTGCTTGCTTTATTGTATTTAGGTTCGAGTAACAATTATCGTAAAGGTTGGCGATATATATGATGAAATGTATATAAAATATTTAGTTCTTTATGAAACTGGGCGCTTGAAATGAACCATGCGGCGAGAGTTGGTAATCCGAGGAATCTATTTTGTACAACTTGAAGTTTCTTCATGTTGAAAATCCGTCCAGATAAGACAAAATGAGCTTGGCTGCTTCTCAAGGGCTAGTTCAACCCCTATGAAGTGTGCTAAACCCCACCACTGACCTAATTCTTTCCCAATTCTTGTCGCTGGGTAGTGATGCAGAAGCGCGTGGAAAGAGGCGCGTATACTGAGATGCTACCTGGCGGTTCTCTTGACAACAGGCTATCTACCCTTACGGAGACCCTAACGTTGAAATGAATAATGTCTGTTTAAAATGAATAATGTAATCTAGTAGTTGATGAGACTTTAAGTAAAAACCAGCGTCTCTCCCAAAGTAAGCCAGTCAATCGTGTCAATTCCCAGGTGGTGGTGGACCCCGCGGACTGCGCGTGCGGGGGCGTGAGCCTTGTCCGCGGAGGTGCGCTGGTGCAGTTCTGCGTGGACACGCCGTGCGCCTTCGACGTGCCCGGCGTCCCCACCGACTGGACGGTCGTCGTCCTCCGGGCCGCGGCCTACTCGCGCGTCGCGACGGTCGTCGCCATGCTCGAAGCGTCCGGAGACGCCGCCGCAACCTCCGCTCCAAGCCAACATCACGCTTCGTTCCCAGCCAATGGGTTAGCGAACGCCTAGGCATGACGTCGACGTCTTTATCGCCACTGTCGTCGTCATGGGCACCGCCGCTGCCGCCGCCGTCGTCGTCATGAACGCCGCAGCGTTTTTCGTCGTCATCGCCGCCGTGGACATCGTCTCGGCCGCCGTGAGCAACTTCACGGTTTTCATGCTCATCGTCATGAGCGCCTTCTTCATCATCCCGACCGCCGTAGTCATCGTTACGGTCGACGTGGTCGTGGGCGCCATCGTCATCATGGCCGTCGTCGTCATCGTCACTGCCACCGTTATCATTGTTAAAGCTTCCGTCGTCATGGCCGCTGTTGTCATCGCAATGGGCGCCGTCGTTGTCGTGATGGACGCCTTCGTCATATTGGCGCTGTCGAGGATGTCGTCACGGCCGCCGCCGCATTCATCTTTCCAAATGCCATCACCATCACCGTCATATCTATCGTTGTAGCGGATAGCATCACCATGTTCGTGTCAGCAGCGATTTCGCCTTCTCATTGGAATTGCACTCGGCCTTCTTACGTAGCCCACAGACGATTCTGAAACTGGTGCTCCTAATTAAATTATCCAGGCACCTATGAATCACTTTTTAATCTACACTCTGTATAGATCCGGGGTGTATTACTATGAAATAATCGTCAGTTGTGGCCTTCTAGATCCACTGACTTGCTACTGATAGTATACATATTTAATAGATCCCTGTGCAATCTAACCATTGTGGTTATTAATACCTTTGTAATTTTCAGGGGAAATCGTAAATTCTGAAAGCTTGAACTCTGAAAGCTTATATCACATTTCCTGGCAGTATATTTAATGTTTTTAAGTCGAGTCCATTAAGTAAGTTTTCTTTTGTAATGAAACCGTATTTAAACCGGTTTTATAAAGAAACCGTTCACCGTATATAAATCTGACCCCTGGTAGCACTGTTATGTAGAAATTTATATGCATTATGTTACAAAAATGTAGTAATTCTTACGTGTGTCGCTGTTCACTGCTCCAAAGAAATTTAAGTAATTTTCAGTTATTGATTTTGGAGAAATGTCGTCAATATTGAAAATATACAGTTGTGGCTCAATTTGATTAGCAGATAGTTCATCATACGGTTTACGAAAGCATTCATTATTCTTATTTAATTCCAATGAACACAAAATTTAAAAATTATTTTTTTAATAATTACTTCGTCTTCTACCTATGATTTTTGTGTCACTAAGCATCCTGTCTTATATATTAATAAAATATCTCCTTTAAATAACAAAATAACAAGAGTATCGTTTTTATTATTGCCCTTCTTTCTTTCCCAACATATTTTGCAAACATCTTCGACGATTATTTATGGTACAAAAAGAGTGTTTTGAGTTTTAAATGAAAACAATTTTGAACATGACTTTTGTACATATGACTCAATTATTTTTTTATTTGATTTATTTCCTATCGTATACTAAGTTACCTCATTGATATAAGTTTTTTTAACCTATCAATTTAAAATTTTTGTTGAGATTCTGGAACATTTAACTTCCTACACTTAAAATGTAAATCTAATGCGTACTCTATTATGTCGCATGCCATTAACCATTTTATAAGTGACCACATTTCTACATAAAGACCAGTGTTGTTGAGCGCGAGATTCTAAGATTCAATCTGTGGGGATGGTGGATTTTTATCTGTAGCTAAGAAGCTGGATCGAAGGGAGCTAAGAGAGCAGAATTCAGCCCCTGTGAAGAAGGAGTCTAGTGGACGGCTGCTCCGATCGATAATTTTCCATGGCTTCTGTCAATACACATGGAATACCAAAGTTCTACCCTCTCAAACGGGCAAGAGCACTCACGATCTTCCATTCATCATCCTACTCCCTTCCCTACAACAGTACTATCTATCTTGATAGATTAAGCTCTACACTTACGGGAGATGGTGCGAGACAGAAAATACGGCAATGCCCTTAGTGAAGATATTTGAACAGGGACCACTAAGCAAGCAGATGTATAAGTGAGAGCCCTTCCAGCAGGAACACCGCTACCTCCCATGATAGAATATGTTCTACATTTACAGATGGTATCACGCCAGGAAACAATAATACAATTAAAACACTGAAACACAAAGTATTGTAGATCTACTTCAGGGCCACAATAATAAAATGTCAATTTCACTTATTGTGATTTAATATCCTGAACTTCTTTGACAAGTTGTGAGCTTGTGTATTTATTTTTGTTTTAATAATGGTCAGTGTTAAAACATTCCATTACTTTCAATGTTTATATTCCTCTTTGCCAATTTTCTTGAAATATTTTGTGTTTCCTGCAAGATCTGAAGATAGAGGCAAGTATTGATACGTCCAAACCACCCTCCGCGATCTGTGGTGACGGATGGCCGCCTCTGCATTGGCTAACGCGCTCGCGAGTGCGACCACGCCCTCCGCCGCCGCACCGAAGGGCCGGGGCCGCCCACGCCCCGTGGGGCGTTTCGACCGCATCGCGGCTTTTAATCTACGCGATCCCTGCTTGCGAGTAATGGGCCGAGATGCACGGATAGCGCAGGCACGCGGCCTCCCGCTGGCGGGCGACTTCCTCGGATCAGGCGCGGCCTCAGCAGGCTGTGTTTTCATTGGTGGAGGTTGACGGTGGAGCTTTCTGCGTGCTAAAAATCCAGATTCGAATTGAAGCTCAAAACAATTGGAGGAGCCCAGCTACGACTTTTCGACGCCAGATGTAAATTTTCTTGCAGTTTTTGTACGACATGCAGACAATCTACTTGACACCGAAACGATATTTATTTATGCGAAGAAATGAAAGGAAAATTTGGGAGAAAATAGATCGTATAAGAGCTAAATAGTAGTGCAAATTATAAATGTTATTGGAAAGAAAAAAATCGTGGACTAGCGCATGTAGAAAAAGATGATGAAAGTAATAAAAAGGGAAAGAGGAAGAATGCCAGTCTATGAGTGCCAATGATGGAATATGAACATAAATATGAGATGATAGGCGGGCTGAAGAATGAAGTTTAACAGCAGAAGGACGTGAGATAGTAAACAGGTCGGAGAGGACTAGTCAACATTTGAGCCTCTCAGCTCCAGAGATGAGGCTACGGGCTGGTTGGAAACTGAGCGGAAAACAAGCAAACGATTAAACGAGTTATCAAGTGAGCTGCGGGAGCCTGAAGGCAAAGAGCCTAAAGAGGGGACAAGAGTAAGCCACAGAGCACACAGGAGAGATGATCAGCAGATAAAAGGGTCAGGGGTCAAGAGGGACGGAGAGAAGGAAGACGAGATGGAGAGTTGAGGCGAGAGAGAGATAAAACGACATGAAAGGAGAGGGGGAAAGGGAACACTAGAGGAGACACGGCAGACGAGAGGAAAAGAGAAAAGAGGACTAGGAGAGAAGAGAGGTAAATTGACAGGGAGACATGAAAGACGAGAGAGGGAGAGAGAACACTAGAAGCAGACAGGGAAGAGGAGTAAGAGAGAGAAAGAGAGTAGTTGAAAGAGCGAGCGGTCGGAACTATATAATAACAATAATAAGGCTAAGTGAGAGAGGGCAGGCATAAAAGCGAAGGACGAGGGGCACAGAGAAACTGGAAGCCATCCGAGAGGGAGGGCTGGCTGAGCAGAGAAGTCCCTCACACGCGCGGGAGAGGCTGGCACGCCGGCCAGCGAGGGAGCTGCAAGGAGAAGGAGAGCGGCGTCGCGCGGTCGGTCAGACGCTTCGCTATGGAGTCGGCCGCGGATAATGGGCCGGAGGGCCCGGCTTGCGGGCGCACGCGCCGCGTCGCGGCTGATGGAACGCCGTCCATTACGCGCGGAGCGGCCGGCGCTTGCGCTTCATCGCGCATTCCATCACGGCCCCGCTCACCCCATCCCCCGCTCCGCCCCACTACGCGCTCCATCGCCACGCCTCTTGGCCGAGGTCCTGCTGCCCACGCCCCGCTGCTCCAGCCCCGCCCAGCCCCTCGTCCCACTACCCAACGCCACGATTCGCTCCGCCCACCACTCACGGCCTCTTGGTCCAGGACCTGTTGTCCCGGCGCGCCTCCCTTAGTGCGGCCCGCTCGCTTCATCCCAGCCCCCAGACGCGCCCGCACTGCCCCTCGATGCTCAACCTTGCCACGTCTGCTGTCCCCTCGCTGTAGCCACGCCCCACTCCTCACCCTCAGCCCTGCCACCATCTACGCTGCCACGCCCCGCAGTCCTTGCTCGCACTGCACCTGACTGCCCCGTACCGCTGCTGGCGTCATCCCATATCCCCGCCCGCTCTACCCACCAAACTGGCTTTCGCCCCACTACCCCAGTCTCTACCACTTCCCGCATTTCTCTCAGTTACGCCATGCCTTTCAATCCACGTTCCGCTTTTGTCGTCACTCTGCTCTTGCTCCGCTTGGCTAGACAAGTCCCCAATCCCCGTACCGCTCCCCCAACTCGCTTCTCAGCCCACATGCAGGTTGTCGTGCTCTCCCCAACCCCTTCTCTCTGCCCTCAGAACCACCCCCCTGCTACCGCCCCTCTGCCCCAGATCCACTACCTTCGTCTGCGTCCCACTCCCACTGGCTAAACTCATCACTCTCCGAAAGTCACCGCACATCTTCACCATGGCCTTTCAGGCCTCGGCGCAGCCGCTGTACCAACCGCACCGCCTGCGGTCCCGAAGATCAGAGGACGAGGGAACATCAATAATCTGCTCCCGCGCGGCATCCGAAGGCTCAAACCGCAAAGGCTGCATCTGATGAGGTCACTTTTCCTCCCGGATGTTCTTCTCCTGATTTGTATGATGGTGATGTTGGTGATGGTAGTTCACAGGTGAGAGTGCTCGCTTTCCATGACGCGATCCAGGGTTCGCTTCCCGGTCGGGGCAGGTTATAGCGTGTCCTTTCTTAGCAATGTTCCAGTATCGGTTGCCCTGGGACGATGAAAACGCTCAAAACGCTCTCAGCTTGAGAAGACCATACGGTGTAGAAATGTCTTTTTGCACACGTACACCTTAATCCAAGGTCGCAACGCCGCTGGTAGGCCTTAGCTCTAAGGAACTGCAACGCCATTACCGACACATGATGATGAGTGCCATTCGCTATATTCAGCATGATTGAAGGAGAAAGCTTGCACCTGACTTCCGTTTTTCGGGCAGGAGACCCCAGAAGTGGTGCGGCGTTGCGTGTCTCAAAATTCACGACGTCGGGCGATTGTGAAAGGCAAATGATTGGTTGATCTTAAAAGTAGGTTAAACAGAGAGAGAGAGAGAGAGAGAGAGAGAGAGCAAGCAGACGACAGAGAAAGGAGGGGAAATGAAACAGCGAACAATCGATATAATATGATATACCGTTGAGATATGAAATGATTGCAGAAGTCAACCATGCCATAGTCATATCGTGAAAACATCCATGCTATACGTATGACTCGAACTAACTCATTAAGATCTGCGTACTTCGACGGCGGTTGAAGTCTGTGCACGATGAGACAGGCGTACGAATCGAGCACGCAGCGTTGCCCCAATCTATATTACTAATTTTAAATGTGCTTAAATAGAAATTGAAAGAAAATAATGCAGCTTCCGGCCTTTTGAGAAGTGTATATTGTCTTGTTATATGCCTAAGAATTCGGGAAAATGACAAACAAGAACAGAAAAATAAAAAAACAAAAAGTCTTGGTTTTGACTGAAATATAATAATGAAATGTAATATGTTATTCCAGTATTCGTGAAGATTGCTTTTGTTAAAATATTTCATGCATTGCCGTAATAAGAGTGTATTTTATTGTTTTTCGTGGACACTATGTATTCTAGGTGTTGGAAAACCAATTTGTGTGAGGAACGTGATAATCTAAATAAGACAATGGATATGTAACATATCTACGTCTGGCTCATTGCCTGTCGGAACATCTTGTTACAACACGGAACCGACTTTAAATCACTTTAAAACAAGAAATCTAATTCGTAGAATGAAAATAAAATGTAATTCTAATTACAACACTAGTTTCCAATTTTTGTAACATTTCATCGAACAATTTTTTTTCTTGCAAGTCGCACTGTCCCACTCTTAATAAATCTCACTCGCTCTCTCTCTATATATAAATTGTCTCCCGATCTCACTCACTTAATCTCTCTTTATCAATATCTGCCTCTGGCTTTATCAATATTTTCCTACTTTTACCAATATATACATATAGCGCTCTCTGTCAATACCAATCTCGTTTTCTATCTTTACCAAACTCTTTCTCCATCTTTTCCAATCTCTTTTGCCATCTTTACCAATATCTTTCTCTATCTTTACCAATC